GAAAACAGGGGTTATACTGTGGGGGAGGAACATACCAAAGAAACAAACAAATCACATAGTACATTATAAATACGTTAAAAACAATAGCAAGAAAAAAAACCACTTGTGTCCCTATCTTGGGGTTCACTTTGCTTAACATCAACTTATATGATCATATGTACATAGCTTTTGACCTTTTCTGCTTGTCTTAGACATATACTAGTTATTGCAAGTAAGAGAAACCATGGGACCTATGTCTCTGTGGGTCTGGGTTACTTCACTTAATATAATTTCTCTGATGTTTGCTTTCAAGCTCTTTTGTCTTTAAATTCAATATCTAGGCTACCTGAATTATGTGACCACATTTTCCTTTATGATTTCATTGAATGTTGGGTTCACAGTACTCCATTTTTAAGTATTAACAGTAGTTTCTGAGTTTTACACTAGACCTTGTAAATGACATGTAGGCACTGGATTTTCCTTCCTTCCTTCCTTCCTTCCTTCCTTCCTTCCTTCCTTCCTTCCTTCCTTCCTTCCTTCCTTCCTTCCTTCCTTCCTTCCCTTCTCTTACCCTCTCCTCTCCTCTCCTCTCCCCTCCCCTCCCTTCCTCTCCCTTCCCTTCCCCTCCCCTCCCCTCCCCTCCCCTCCCCTCCCCTCTCCTCTCATCTCCTCTCCTCTTCTCTCCTTTTCCCTTCTCTTCTCTTCTCTTCTCTTTTCCTTCTTATTGGTCAATGGGACTTGAACTCTGGGCCTGAGTGCTGTCCCTGAACTCTTCAGCTCAAGACTAGTGCTCTATCACTTTGAGCTACAGAGCCACTTCTGAGTTTTGAGTGTTTAATTGTAGATAAGAGTCTCACAGACTTTCATGCCCAGGCTGGCTTTGAACTACTATCCTCAGATCTCAGCCTCCTTAGTACCTAGGATTACATGCACAAGCCATTGGCTTCTGACTTGGATCTTCTTATCTGGTTAGTATCTGACTAATTGCCTTGTATTTGTATGGGGTCCTTTTTTATTAAAGTGCATTTGTGGAAATACCTAGAGAATTCCTATGACTTTCTAACTTGCTACCTCTCAACTGCCCAGTCCTAATCATCTCTCTAGGTCTTGCTCAGACATACAGTTGCTTTATTTTTGGTAGAGAAGCATTTAGAGAAGGTGTGGCTGTGGTTTTCAGTTTATGAAGTCTAGTCTTGTTTCAATTGGATACCTGGGATGGAAATAAGAGATCTCTGTTGTGGTTGGTAGAGAAATCTATACAGTCTCCTGCAATTGTTTTGACTACTACGTATTGTTTATGCCTCTAATTGAGTAGCATCTACTCTCTTGAATGTTCACCCAAGTCTCATTTTCTGTATACCCAACTCATGCTCAGTCAAGAACCCATGGGGAGCCCTCACCAGACAGCTAGCTCTCCTCTTTATATGTCCCAGATATTTTAGCAGCACTCAGCTCTGATCTCCGCTTCCTCAGCACCCTATCACTGTCATTTACAGCTTAGACTTTAGCTGCCATCTTGCTCAGATCAGGAACTTTAGCTGGCATCAAACGCCAAGAAAATCAGGAGTCCCACCTGTCAAGGGGACAGTTTTATACTTCCCTTTTGTTCCATATTTTTGTCCAGTTTCATAGTTGCTAACAAGAGGGGCTAATTCAGCATCAGTTTCTTATCACAGCTAGAAATAAAATCTGTAATTAAGACTTGATTACTATTATAGCATCTTGAAGAACTCCAACCAATCTAGTGAACAGGACTGAAAGGAGAAAAAGAGAGGAAATAAATGGGAAATAGAAGAGTAGGTTACAGGATGAGGATAAAGGTAGCTCCAAATTGAAGCATTAAGTGGGGTACAAAGAGAGGAAGGAACACATAGATACATTTATCACCACCCTCAGTTTTTTGTTTTTTTGTTTTTGGGTCCAGTCGTGGGCCTGAACTCTGGGCCTGGGCGCTGTCCCTCAGCTCTTCAGCTCAAGGCTAGCACTCTACCACTTGAGCCACAGCACCACTTCTGGCTTTTTCTCTTTTTGCTTATGTGGTGCTGGGGAATCGAACCCAGGGCCTCATGAATGCAAGGCAAGCACTCTACCACTAGCCACCTTCCCAGCCCTATCCACCCTCAGTTTTTAACACATTATCTAATTTTAGCAAATATCTTTGGGACTCTGTCTTGGCCAGGTATTGTGGTCAATAACGTGGCCAATCTTGGCTAATAAGGCATTATTCGTTTCATATCACTTAATGGGAGAAATATTCTCCTATAAAAACAATTATGGAAATATATTTGGTGCTCAGTTTCTTTTTTTTCCATAAAAAGTTTTTGAGGGAAAAGGAATTAATTCTGCTTGACTGGAATGGGCAAGTTTTCATAGATGTGTTATTTGGACTGGGCCTGAATTGACAGGGAAGAATTAATTAGACACAGAATGTGTGGGATGAAGAAGGGAGTATGTTAGGCCAACCATTTCAGACAAGGTGGGCAAGTGTGAAGATCATGTGGACATACTGGGGACCGTAGCTGACTTTCATGCCAGCAACAGAAAAGAAGCTTGCGGTGCAGATCCGTTTCTTTCAGTAGATATGAGCAAGCTTACCAACTGTGGCAGAATACCCACTTGCTATGGGCAAGGCACAAGGGAATGACTCATTATGACTGCTTTAGTCAGCCTCCCTTTGGTAGGAACCAGATGATAACAGTCACATTGTCCTGCAGACCAGTGGGTGGGTATATCAGTTAGATGTAATAGAACTTTGTCTTCCCCACTGGGAAGATGGCTTGGAGATTTGTTTAACTGGCTAAAGCTGCGAACCATCTGCATGTGGACACTGATTCTTAGGATTCATCTAGTGTCTGTTTGATCCATGAAATTCTATCCTCCTGATACTCATTATTGGTTCTGAAATAGTCTTCTCCCTTTCTCCTTTACTCTCAGTCTCACCAACTTTTTCCTTCTCTCTCATTCTGCCTTCTATTTCATTGTGGGAAAATCTGGCTATTCTATAGAAAAGCATACTTTATGAATAAAATGTAACGTTGGGATTAAATATTACTCTAGATCCCTGCAGTAAAGTTTTAACTCTTCAAATGAGAGTTAAACCAAATATTTGGTGTGAGTCTTCATTGCGCTGAGGACTTACAAAGGTAATAGAACCTACAGTGTTTTGCATGTCTCTGTGTTACCAAGACCAGTGGAGACTCCTTCTTTGCTCTTGGAGATAATCATGTAGTAGCCACTAAGGAAAACTGCAGGCCTACACATCCTCATTTTATTCCAGTTTCAAAAAATATATAATAGCTTACTCTCCCCAAATCTTTCTGTTAGGAACTTCTGTATATTCCTGGACCCTATATTTAGGTTATCACTGAATGCAATTTAAGATATATTAAGATGCATTAAAAGTAGACTTTCTTTGTAAAATAGCTCTGATTTGGAAGGCATAGGCAATTGAATGAGTTGATTATTGGCTTCTAGACACAGAATCTGAAGGACTGAATGAAGTAAAGTTAAAAATTATTATACTAGAACGGTTGTATTTATTTAGGACAAAAATGCTGTGAAAGTACCCTAACAAAATTTTATACGTTAACTTATCTCTCACAGTTCATTCTAGTCTATTTTGAAGTATAATGATGATTGCTACCATTTATTGAGCATATAGTATGAGGCAAACACTTCGATTAAATTGTCTGCAACTCTCACATCTATAATTAAAGGCAGCAGTCATTTTTCTTTTATTTACTTACTTTTTTGGTCAGTCATGGGGCTTGAACTCTCAGTCTGGGCTCTGTCCCTGATCTCTACAGCTCCAGATGTGTAATGTACCATTTGAGCCACAGCACCACTTCTGGTTTTCTAGTGTTTAATTGGAAATAAGAGCTTCATGGACTTTTCCTGCTTGGGCCGGCTTTGAACTGTGATCCTCAGATCTCAGCATCCTGAGTAGCTAGGATTACAGGTGTGAGCCACCAGCCTCCGGCTTATTTATTACTTTTTAATGAGAGAAGCATAAGTTTATTAAAGTGAAAATACTGTACCATAGCATTGAAGCAGGCCAAGCAAGAGAGTTCATGTCCTCAACAAATGATGTCTGGTATGATTTAAGTGAGTTATGACTAGGGCTGGAGGTCTTCCCACAGGAGGGCCCTTGGTGTTGCGCTGTTTTAAAGGCTGGAGGTTACATAATGTTTTATTTCATGTTTTTACATATTACGCATCAGAAAAGTCAAAACTATGGTGCAAATTATATGGCAATGACTACAAAAGTCATCTCAAGGCAGATTAGCATCTTTATTTTACAAATAAGGGAGTCGGAGTCACTTACCCATGTTTGCATAGCTTGTTAGTATTACATGAGCTCTGATCACCAACCCTGTCTTATTATCCTTCAACATCTTGCTTTGGTACCCACGTTGTTATTAATTATAAATACATACCTTGGAGAAAAAGAAAACATTTTGAAAGAAGATTCCCAGGAGGCTGAGATCTGAGGATCACAGTTCAAAGCCAGCCCAGGCAGGAAACTCCGTGAGACTCTTATCTCCAATAAACCACTAGAAAACTGGAAGTGGTGCTGTGGCTCAAGTGGTAGAGCACTCCTTGAGCTGAAGAGCACGGGGAAAGTGCCCCAGCCCAGAGTTCAAGCCCCACAACCGACAAAAAAAAAAAAAGATTATAAAAGGGCAGAACTGTATTTTCAAGATTCTTCTAAAACTTTTGCAATTGAATCTAATTTTTAATATTTACAATAGTTTATATGGGCAAGAAGTATTTTCTCATTTCCAACACCAAAATCATGGTATGTAAATCTTAATACCACACAACTGAGGCTTTCTGATTATCTTGCCTTTGAGATTTCAAAAACTCTCCTTCAAAATGAAGTCATTTTGGGGGCATTGCAGAAATACCTATTGGAAATCAAGTGCATTGGCACAAGTTAAAGAAGTGTATTTGACTGCATGGATTGTATAAGCAGAGCATAATGTCTTCAATTTTGTCTCATGCTCTGTTTCTTTTCACAGCATGCTCATATGTCTTTACAAGTAACAGTGGGATACTCACTTCCCCTAATTACCCCAATAATTATCCCAGTGATTGGGAGTGCACTTATAGGATCACAGTGGGAATCAACCAGCAGATTGCATTGCACTTTACTGACTTCTCTTTGGAGGAAGGCATTTTCAGAACCTGTATGGATTTTCTGGAAATCAGGTAAGAACCTTCATTTATTTCATTTATAATTCTTTTAAACATTCTAAACAGTACCTAAGCAGTGAAGATGTATTAGCACATTTTGACATCTTCATTTATTATGCAGAATAACAATGAAAAACAAATACCACATACCATTTTTGTAAGTCTTGCTATTAATTTTTTTTTCAGTCTGTCCTGGAGCTTGAACTCTGGGGCCTAGACACTGTCCCTGAGCTTTTCAGCTCAAGGCTAGTTCTCTACCTCTTGATCCACAGCACTGCTTCCAGTTTTCTGGTGGTTAATTGAAGATAGAGTATCATAGATGTTCCTGCCCGGGCTGTTTTTGAACCACGATCCTCAGATCTCAGCCTCATATATAGTTAGGATTACAGGAGTGAGCCACCGGTTCCCGGCTTTCACTATTAATTCATTTTGAGCATTTTACACATGGGACCTTATAATATTTTTTAATAAATTTTATTGTCTGATATGAAGATATTAAAATAATAAATTATAGTAAAACCATATTATGCTAAAATGACATAATTTCCCAAATCTCTGTTATATATTCTCTACCATTTCTTACAAAGAGAATTTTGTGAGGTTTGACACAGGTGATGGTTGGTTTATGTTGCATTTTGTAAGTATTTAATTTAATTAAATTTTATTTAATTAAATCACTGGGATTTAATGTTGAATGTAGAATTCCTTTTATGCTATGCTTAAGACTCCAAAAGTTCTTAGGGAAAGAATTATTTCCAGGGTTTTATTAAATATGCCAAGTATAGTGCGTTAAGTTGTGAAATTTTCCAAAGTTAGATGCATTTAATAATTTCTCAATAATATCAGGGAATATTTGTTTATGCTGTTGAAAATTATAGTTTGTGTATTCTATATATATATTTTTTTGGTCCGGTTGTGGGGCCTGAACTCTGGGCCTGGGCGCTGTCCCTCAGCTCTTCAGCTCAAGGCTAGCGCTCTACCACTTGAGTCACAGTGCCACTTCCAGCTTTTTTCTTATGTGGTGCTGAGGAATCAAACCCAGGGCCTCATGCATGCAAGGCAAGCACTCTACCACTGAGCCACCTTCCCAGCCCCAGTTTGTGTATTCTATACTCTTTGAAGTATTTGCTGTGGGAAGGTGAGGACTGAACACATTCTTTCAACTTGACAGCGATGACAGAAGATGCCATGCCAGGATGGCATTCTTTATTTTCATCAAATATTCTGTAATGAAGCATACAGGTTAAGCACCTGAAATTGTCATTTTTTTTAAAGTAATTTTGACAAAAGTCTGTGTGACCTGTTAAACTGGTCATTGCAACCCTGTAGTCTGAATGTATGTCAGTAATCTAATATGTGCTCTTTTCTGTGTTCTGCCGCAGAGATGGAGGATATGAAAATTCCCCAATCCTGGGAACGTTCTGTGGTTCAGTGCTCCCTCCAACAATCTTGTCTCACAGTAACCAACTATGGTTAAAATTTAAGAGTGACCAAGCAATCTCAAGTTCTGGATTCTCAGCTTCCTGGGATGCATCGGCAACAGGTAAAGAGCCAAGATAAGTTTGTTGAGTTGCCTTCTTTTCCCACCTGTGTTTAGTCATTAATCTTGGTCTTACACCTTCAATATCACAAGTATTCTTTTTGTTGTTGCTGGTCATGGGGCTTGAACTCTCGGCCTGGGCCCTGCCCCTGAGCTCTTCAGCTCAAGGATAGTGCTCTACCACTTGAACCACAGTGCCACTTCCAGTTTTCTTGTGGTTATTTGGAAAGTCTCATGGACTTTACTGCCCAGGCTGGCTTTGAACCGCAATCCTCAGGTCTCAGACTCCTGAGTAGCATAAGCCACCAATGCTTGGCTCACAACTATTTTTGAATTAACAGCAGCCATCTATCTTGAAGAATGAAGTGGCAAAATTCTTAGTTCCCTGGCATATTTCATGAAGATGATCAATGATCTTAATTAGAAAAAAAGCCACAGTACATAGTTATGCAATAGGCTACTCTCTGAAGACATTTTGCCCTTCAGCTTGATTTAAGGGCAGAGATAAGTTATTTAGATCACATGTGTCATTCGCCTCTTTTTTCCATAGGTTGTGGAGGCAACTTCACCACTTCCACTGGCGTGTTCACGTCTCCCAACTACCCAATGCCGTATTACCACAGCTCTGAGTGCTACTGGTTGTTAAAAGCCAGCCATGGTAGCCCCTTTCAACTAAACTTTACAGAGTTCCACTTGGAGTATCATCCGAACTGCTCTTTGGATTATCTGGCTGTATGTATCAATTCTGTCATCCACAACTTCCATCTTACCCAACACAGAAAAGGTTTTTACTTTTGTTTTGAGATTCAGGAAAGATGAGATTCTATTTATTTATTTAAATCTTTAAGTAGTTGTACAGAGGGGTTTCAATTCAACATGTCAGATTATCATCTCCATCCCTGTCATCACAAACATGACATCATATAAAAACTGCACACGAAATAAAAAAAAAAGTTATGCCAAATAAATTTAATGGTAGTGACAGGATTCTAATCATCCTAGGTAATGGAACTGCTAATGTTAAAATATTTTGAATAGGCTGGGAATGTGGCTAAGTGGTAAAGTGCTTGCTTAGCATGCATAAATCCCTCGGTTCAGTTCCTCAGCACCACATAAACAGAAAAAGCCAGAGGTGGAGCTCTGGCTCAAGGGGTAGAATGCTAGCCTTGAGCAAAAGAAGCTCAGGGATAGTGCCCAGGCCCTGAGTTCAAGCCCCAGGACTGGCAAAGATATATATATATATATAAAGAATATAAACTCTAAGAAACAATTAAAATAGCTTGAGTGATTATAAAATTTATGATCATAATCTACATATTTTTTCTTAAATTGTTATTTTGATGTTGTACAGAAGCATTACCATTTCATAAGTACTTTTTTTTTTTGTCGGTTGTGGAGCTTCAACCCAGGGTCTGGATGTTGTCCTTGAGGTCATTCCCTCAAAGTTAGTGCTTTTCCACTTTGAACCACAGCTCCACTTCTGGCTTTCTGGTGGTGAATTGGAGATATGATTCACACTAACTTTCCTGCTGGCTTCAAGCTTTGATCCTCAGATCTTAGCCTCTTGAGAAGCTAACAGGCATGAAGAATGGGCACTGTGCAAGTACATTTCTTTTGGGGGGCAATGTCACCCTTCCTTCACTTTGCCCCAGTTTTTCCCTACTTTCCCTGCCCACAAGGTTTGCAGTTCATTTTCTACATAGTGTATACTGCATAGCATGCTTGGCATTTTTTTTACCTTCCTCCCTCCATGTCTTTGCTCCCTCTTTCCTTCCCTAAAACACAACAACAACAAAAAGCAAAACCAAAGACCACCATCACCACCACCACCAACAATAACAAAAAGAAAAAAACAAGTTTCCACTTCTATGTCCTGGAGTTCCTTTTGATAAGCAGTATTTTAAGTGTTCAGAGAATTTATATCTCTGTACATCCTCCTTTTAGCTGATGAGATACTAACTTTTAAACATATTTATAAAACATTTTTTTCAATTGTCTTTAAGTAGTAATACAAAGGGATTTCAAGTCAATATAGCAATTTTTATGAACTATGCATCTTGACCAATGTCACCCCTACCATCATTAGAGATAACCGTATCAACCATATAGGACTATTTATAGGACCAGCAACTCACCTGTGGTCCACTAAAGTCATAGAAATCAAAATAGGCTAAAGTTTCATAACTATTAAAAATGGGATCAAAAAATCAAGAGACAAGTTCTCATCTCAGAATAGGTATTAGACTTCAACTCTGTGGCACACACCATTTTATACTTGTCATTGCTGTTTAATCTCAGTGCAATTTTCAGAAGTATTTAATTCTCTCATGGCACATGCCTGTCTATCCCCACTTCTGCATTAACAGTCCTCTAGATCACCTTTACAGCCACAACCATCTGACATGAGTATGTTTTACTCAAGGTTTATGATGGCCCAAGTTCGAGCTTTCAACTGCTAGCTCAGCTCTGTGGGGATAAGAAGCCTGCCCCCATCCTCTCCAGTGGGGACAGCCTGTTTCTGAAACTGAGAACTAATGAAGATCAGCAAGGAAGTGGCTTCATGGTCAATTTCAAACAAAGTAAGTATGTACTTCATTCAGTGGTCTAGTGTCTTCAGTGGACCGCCTAGACTTGTGATGAAATGAACTGGTTTGAGCCGTTAAAACAAAATCTTAGTTGCTGATACCAAACGTATTTAATTTTGTTTGAGGGAGAAATGTGTATGTATTCAATTTAACCTCCTGTTATTAAAACATGGCAAATGGTAGAAACTTAGAAGCGTATTTCCTAAGGTGAGACAGTTGTAATTCATCCAAGTAATGGCTAAGAGTTTTCCAATTTGCATCACACATTCTGATCTCCCAATAAATCATTGATCAAGTTTTGTTATTTACCTTAAAACATACCTAATAAATTGTACCTCATAAAACATGACAGGAAGCTACGGTACCTGGGAGTCAAGTGTGGAGTGGGCATGTTTTTAACTGTGGAAAGAAACCCATGAAAATCTTCTTACTCCAGAAGCAGCACAATAGTATTAAAAATTTATTGAATAACATATCCACATGTCCACAGTCCTGAGGTATATGGCCTGGCCATTAGAAATTACCTGGAGTTGCTTTTTTTCCCTCAGTAGCTTTCCTTCCTTTTTTTTTAGTTTCCATAATGAGGATATACAATTAAATGAACTTGAAAACTTATTTTTCTAACTCTGGAATTAGACATTCTTTTGAGTTAATTTTACTGACCTTTCATGACAAGAAGCTGTTATGCAAGAAATGCTTTCGTTTTGGAAGAATGGAATACCTTGCTCCCAGTAAACTTAAATGTATCCATAATTTTGGCACAATTGTCTAATATTAAAATAGGAATCCATGAAGTCATATTCTGCATGCACAATGTCCCTTAGCTTAATTACAAGAGGACTAGTGTTTAATCTGGGTGATATATGAATTTGAAGATTCACCTTTAGGCTAAATTAAGATTTTTTTTTTAGGCTAAATTAAGATTTTTTTGGGGGGGGGGGTCCGGTCGTGGGGCCTGAACTCTGGGCCTGGGCGCTGTCTCTCAGATCTTCAGCTAGCACTCTACCACTTGAGCCACAGTGCCACTTCCGGCTTTTTTTCTTTTTGCTTATGTGGTGCTGAGGAATCGAACCCAGGGCCTCATGCATGCAAGGCAAGAGCTCTACCACTGAGCCACCTTCCCAGCCCCCCTAAATTAAGATTTTTTTGAATAATGAATCTTAGTAAAAGTTTTGTTCTTAAGTTACTATGACTATGTATATATTTTTTTAATTCTCTAGTCAACATGTCAGTTTGATTAAATTAAGAATAATGTTTTAAATTTGTTGCTTCATTATTTTGTTCCTTAGTTACAATACAATTTCTTTTTTTTTTGGGTCCCGTCGTGGGGCCTGAACTCTGGGCCTGGGCACTGTCCCTCAGCTCTTCAGCTCAAGGCTAGCACTCTACCACAGATTTTTACAATAAGAAACATATATACTTGTATGTGTGTATATATATATACACACACAAGTATATATGTTTCTTATTGTAAAAATCTGTACAGTGGGGTTACAGTTACATGAGTAATGTAATGAGTACATTTCCTATTGAGTATCCTTTGTTTTCCTCCTTCCCTCCCCACCTCCCCAAGTCCACTGCCCCATCCTCGCGAAGTTGTAAAGTTCATTTTCAACATAGTGTCTCATACATCTAATTGTTACAATGGGTCAACCTGTGCCCATATTTAAGCATTTTGTTATTTCCCTTCCCCTCCTGAAATTAGAAAAATGTATATACAAAATGCAGGGCACCAGAATCAATACAGTAAAAGCAGGGGTTATACCATAGGGGAAGAACATACAAAGGAAAGAAAAAAATCACATAGTACGTTATTAATACATTAAAAACAATAGCAAGCAACAAAAAAAACCCACTTGTGTCCCTATCTTGGGGTTCATTTTGCTTAACATCTTCTTGTATGATCATATGAACATAGCTTTTGATCTTTTCTGCTTGTCCTAGATATGTACTAGTTATTGCAAATAAGGGAAACCATGGGACCTATGTTTCTTTGGGCCTGACTTACTTCACTTAATATTTTTTCCAAGTCTTTCCATTTCCTAACAAATGAGGCAATGTCATTCTTTCTGATGTAGGCATAGAATTCCATTGTGTATATATAGCACATTTTCTTGATCCATTCATCTACTCAGGAGCTTCTGGGTTAGTTCCATATCTTAGCTATGGTAAATAATGCTGTGATAAACATAGTTGTCCTGGTAGCTTTAGTATACCTTGTTTGTGATTGTTTGGGTAAATGCCCAAAAGTGGGATTGCTGGGTCATAGGCGAGCTTTATGTGGAGTCTTTTGAGGAACCTCCATACTACTTTACAAAGTGGTTGGGGTTTTTTTGTTTGTTTGTTTTTGCTGAAGGCTTAGAACTCAACCATTTGAGCCACAGCTACAATTCTACCATTTTGGTGGCTGATTGGAGGTAAATGTTTCCTGCCTGTGCTGGTATGGAACCACAACCCTCAGATCTCAGCCACCTGAGTAGCTAAGATTTCAGGTGAGAGCCATCCTCTCCTGGCCAATGTCTCTACTTAGTTATTCCTGTAATAATTTTTCTCATATATTGAGAACACTAATAAATTAATACTGAACATAGTTTCTTGAAGGTAAACTCAGAACGAACTAGTTATATTTTCTATAATATTTGTCATTTAAAATGGGAGATTGTAAATAATGTAACTTGTCAGGGCTGAGAACAGCTCTGTTTCTGATTTGCTGTAGTCACTGAAGTTTATGATGTATACCTGTCTGCCTAATAAGTATGTATCATCTCTCACATCTCGCATCTAAAACAAAAAATCACTCCTGGAAATTTTATGCAGACAAAACTGAGCTAAATATTTTCAAAGAGAAACACTTTGGGTATTATATCTGCTCTACCAAAGGAAAATTTTGAAGAACAGCCAGTGCAAACCATATAAAGTCTTCTGAAAGGCACCTTTCAGAAAACATAAATAGAAGTGTACCTATAACCCACATTGTTGAGACAACTCAGTAGATATACTTTTCATTTCTTCACTTCCTTTTATTTCATGTCATAAAGACAATATGATTTTTTAAAGAAAAAGGCTCAGGGAAAGGGTATATGCCTCTTTCAAGTAAGAATTGGCTGGATTTAGCTTTTACTTCCAAAAAGACATACATAGAAGTATGGTTTTGTTAAAAAAAAAAAATCTAGCTCAAGAAAATACCTGTAGATTGAAGAGTTCTGTTTTTCATAATTTTAGATTTTAATTTATGCTTTAAATTCTTTATGCCCCCTTTCTTTTATTTGGCCCTTCCTGCTGACTAACTAAAGGAAAAATTTAGACTTGGTCATGAATTTCAGACAGTTCAACAAAACCATGTTTCGCATTCACATGGGAGTGTGTATCTTCATACTGCAGAAAGAAACCAAATGTCAGAGCTAAAGAACCAGAAGCATAGTTTATTTGTTAACACCTATCTCTAAACAAACAAGTTCCTGTAGTAGAACCTAGCTATTCTGCTGTCCACCAACTCAGAAGAAATGCAACAGCTATTTGAAATGACTGCTCAACATTCATGACCCATGAGTGTTTGAATTTATTTAAGTATTACTTCATATTTGCAACTGAGGGATGTAGCTCAATGATAGAGCACCTGCTTAACATGCATAAAGTCAGAGATCAGCTCCCAGCACCACCCACCCCCATACACACACAAGGAAAAGAATTAGAATGTGTGTGGGTTTTTTTAATCTAAATTTTGCTTAAATATCAATCTCACATATAGCTTAGAATAATTACTGCAGGTACAATAGTGGCTCTTAACCACCATGATTTTGTTTTATTTTTCTAGTATGTGACAATGTGGTAATAGCCAACCAAACCTATGGTATCTTGGAGAGTATAAATTACCCAAATCCCTATTCTCCGAATCAGCGCTGCAATTGGACAATCCAAGCGACGAAGGGCAACACCGTGAATTACACATTTGTAGGATTTGAGATGGAACACTATTCCAACTGCTCGCTGGAATACTTGGAGGTAGGTGAAAACTCAGCATATGGCTTTTATTCAGATCAGGTGAGACAAAGCAAGCTAGCAGTCCTTCATACTCTTTAGAGACACCTTGCTAGCCCTCTCAGATGAGTGTATAATGCATCAATCACCCACAACACTTGAGCTGTTGGAAAGGTATATTTCTTATATTTTTTAAATAAAAAGACATATTTATTTATATTTATTATGTTACAGTAGTTGCATAAAGGGTTTTTAATTCAAAAAATCAGTTTATAGGTACAGTGCCACCCTTTCCATCTTTCTCAACCCCACTTATACCCTCAAGTGACATGGATCTGTTTTCACATATGCACATTCAATATAATGACTCGAGTAGGCCTATTTCATGTTTCTTCCCTTGCATCACCTTAATATCAATGATATTTAATCTACTAGCTAATAAAAAGGATGCTCCATTTTTAACTTCAAGACTGATCAATCTTACTTAAATTACAGAGGTAGAATGCTATCTGTGTTTTTACGATTGTTTTTGTTTTTTCACTAAGTAACAGGTTAAAAAATGTTTGAGTAGCAGGATTTATTTAATGCTGCATTTGCCTGGAAGTACTTATCAAGATTTCAATTCTTTGTTTTATTTCAAAAATTAAAGTTAATTTCAGCTTGTTTCTCTTTTTGCAGCATGGTAGATTTGTTTATTATAGAAATAACCACAATTAACATTTATTCCATTCTGTATTCAATGCTATGCAATAAAAGTTGCTTGAGCACCAGGCAACCTAGTGTAGGAAGCAGTCTGCGTTCTGCTATTTTTTATGATAAGAGGTTTATTTTGAAAAGATTTCTTCCTAACTTGCATATGTAATGGTAGATGGAAAATTTAGGCAGCTACATAGTTAACTTATTTCAATATTGTAATTGTCTATTGATATATAAAATGGCATATTTATATACAAACATTAATTGAGATACTAGATTTTAATCCACATATTATGCTTTCTCTATGACTGTTTTCTTTTTTTTTTTATTTTAAAAACATTTTATTTCATATAAATTTTATGGATAGTACAAAAGTATTCTGAGTTTCAGCTTATCTACCAAACTAAAGGATTTTAAGCTCTTTAAGCCCCCTCCCTTCAGAGGTAAATAAATAAGAAGCAAGTCCTACTATGTAGTACATATACAGAAAATTTAACAAGAACAAAAACATCTGCAAAATAATTCAGCTTTGCTAACTATAAAGCCCACTGCTTAGAGGTGTACCAGTATATGGACAAAAGAGCCCAAGAGGCAATAGAACTACTTCAACCTTTAATGCCTAACTTTTTTCCTGTATTTTTTGAAGAAGATACTCCATTTGTAAATTCAAGTTTGGTTGGCCCTTTTTAGTCTTTTTGCTCAATATTTTGAACATTTCCATTTTTTTCTTTTTGTACTGTCTTTGGGCTTCTTCTCTCTCTTGTTTTCTCCTCTCAAATTCTTGTTTCTTAGCAGCACGCTTAGCTTGTATCTGTTCATATTCTTCTTTTGCTTTCTGATTTGAAGTTTTCTTTTTATTTTTCTTTGGATAGTCACAGAATTTACTTTGTGGCTATCTTGTTCTTCTGGTGGAAGCTGGTGAACACCACAAAACTGGTACTTGACCAAAGTCTGATCAGTGTTAGAGTGTTCTTCAGGCAAAGGCTGGTCAGTTGCTGATTCTGGCAAATGCTGGCCAGCTCTTCTTTGTTGCTTCCTGAGCCTTTCTTCTTCAGCTAGATAGAGATGCTTCAGATGATCTGGGTAGTGATCTGTGAACTGGGATTCGTGGGACGTTTGACCCTTCTTTTCCTTCCACTGCAATTTCCTGTAGTATTTCTGAATCTTCAGTTTTCTCCGAAATGCAAAGCCTTGTCCCTCGCGCACGCTCCCCGCGAAGGCTTGAGAGTAGTTTGGCCGCCACGTCTTTCGCCTCCCATTCCCATTCCGGAGTCCGACCTCTCCTCTCCGCAACGAGGCCCCACACCCTGGACGCGGCTCCTCGCCGCGGGCCTCGCCGGCGCCATTTTCCCACCTTTCCCACTTACCCATATCACAGCAACTTAGTGTAATTCTTTTGAAGGTAAGCACTGATTTTTCAGACATCTTGCTTGCAAAGATTTCCGATGTTTAGCTCCTAGAACTCTGAAATCATATTTCAGGGTGGGGGATCTTTATAAAATATTATCATCTTTCACCAGTTTTATTTAAAACAAAACTAACATAGTTGAGGTTTTTTGAGGATACTAGTTCCTTTTCCAATAGCATTTTTGCTTATCAAAAGAAAGAAAGAAGTATGTCCTTACATTGAGACAATTTTAAGGAGATTCTCTTGTTTCTCTGGGGAAAATTTAAGTGAAAAAACATACTAACAACAAAAAACAGTGTGGTAGATCCCACCTATAATCTTAGCTCTCAGCTGCTCAGGAGGCTGAGGCAGTGGGATTGAGAGAGTTCAGTGCCAGAATTAGCTCCATCATGAGTTCAAGACTTGCCTGGGCTACTTTATAAGGTCCTGTTATCCTCCCCCTGCCAAAAAAATTAGCAAACAAAAAATCAAAAGAAATCAACACACACACACACACACACACACACACACACACACACACACACACACACACACACACACACACACACACCCTTCTTCCTTTATATGTAGAAAAGAACACTATAATGGAAATAATAGGAAGTATTCTTTATAAATTTTCAAAGAAAATATAATAACACAAAACAAATATGTAGATGCTCAATGCATCTTAGAATTTTGAGCCCAAGCCACAATCAAAAGCATAAATTTGCAAAGTAGTACTCTATTTTATGCTGCAAAGTCATGATCTGACAAGTTTCAGTGGGAAATGCTAGAGAAAAAAGCTTTGGGACTGAACTTTAACATGGACTCTACTCTTAGTAGAAAGAGTAGGAAGAAAATAGAACTTTTACAGGACCTGGACTCCATTTCTTTGGACTCGTTGGAGGGTGGAATGGTAACAGAAAGTCTCATGGGTAGTTTTTGGAGGTGTTTGAAGACTCAAAAGGAAGATACTTGTTCCAACTATCGCAGAGCAGCAAATTAGAGGCCCCTGTCGATGCTGGGTCTGTCATGGAGCAGCCATGCCCGCTTTCTGGCGCAACTTTGATGGTGAAAGCAGCAAAAAGACAGAATGAGAAGCAGAAGTTCAGAAAAGCCTTCCAAACAATGACAGTATTGCCCAGAGGGAGGATATTTTTTTCCATTTCTGTAAGCCAAGGGGCATGACCACAGCAATAACTACAGTGGTTGGTGCACGATAGAAATGTTAAAAGCATAAGTAACCATTTAAGGAGAGAAAAAGTCACTCGCACAAAAATCAGGCTTATCATTTTTTAATAACTTCTGGTTAAAGGTTTTTTTTTGTTTTTTCCTAAGTGACTTAGCCAATTCCCAATTGAGTGACCATTATGAGAGCCAGAATTTAGTTGTTTTGAATTAATAAAACTAAAACTATAAAAAGACCTGATTAGGTGCTGGTCAGACATGATGCCAAATCTTTCTGAGAAGCTTGGAAGGGTAAAGATTTCATTGGAAAGCAAATCCATACTTTGTTCAAGAAAGTTAAAAAAAAGAAATGCATGGGGCTGGGAAGGTGGCTCAGTGGTAGAGCACTTGCCTTGCATGCCTGAGGCCCTGGGTTCGATTCCTCTGCACCACATAAGCAAAAAGAAAAAAGCCGGAAGTGGTGCTATGGCTCAAGTGGTAGAGCACTAGCCTTGAGCTGAAGAGCTGAGGGATAGCGCCCAGGCCCAGAGTTCAGGCCCCACGACCGGACCCCCCCCCCCCCAAAAAAAAAGAAATGCACCAGATTTGAAAGCAAAAAATTCAGTTTGCCAAAGGCTTATTTTCCTAAAGGTAGTAAGACTGTCTAGTTGAGGCAGATATGGAAAGTAAATTGTAAAGATTTGGTCTGAATTTTGCAACTTGATTTCACTTCTATTTTGATGCTTGGTTTCATGTTGAAGTGATGATTTCTAATAGGTGAGTGAAGATACAAACAGGAAGTGGCAACTGGGGGAGAAATCAGCAGCCGTGTGTAGGATACCCTGGTGATCTGAGACAAGAGGAAGGAGAAGTAGTCATAAGCTATTGCATGTTGTATGGAAGTCAAGAGACGCTAGAATAATGGCAGAGGTCAGCAATCAACCTGGTGACATTCCCCAAGGGGTGAGTGGAGGTCAGGGTTGAGAAGTATCCCCTGGAGATTAGACTCAGCTGCAGTGTGGAAAGGCATGAAGAGAGAAAGTGGTATGCGTTGAGTTTTCTGGAGCAAATCATAGGGAAAAGCGATGGCCTCTTTTCTGTCGTCTTTGAAAGTTGCTTTTTCTACTGTGTCCTCACATGGTAAAGCTCTCATAAGAATGCTTGGAAATATAATATTTAATCTTACTTTCCATAGCTATGGTGATACTTCCACAGTCTCACAAGGCCTGATGGTATAAACAATGATCTCTCTCTCTGTATCTCTTTGCTGATCCTGAGTTTTAAACACAAGGCGTGAGTGCTGCCCTTAGTTTCCTTTTAATGCTCTCCCACTTATGCCACAGCGCCACTTCTGGCTTTTTTCTGTGTAGGTTATTAGAGATAAGCATCTCATAGACTTTCCTGCCTGATCTGGCTTCTGACCTAGATCATTAGATCTGAGCCTCCTGAGTAGCCAGGATTTTTTTTTTTTTTTTGGGGCCTGGTCTTGGGGCCTGAACTCTGGGCCTGGGCACTGTCCCTCAGCTCTTCTGCTCAAGGCTAGCGCTCTACCACTTGAGCCACAGCGCCACTTCTGGCTTTTTTCTTTTTGCTTATGTGGTGCTGAGGAATCGAACCCAGGGCCTCTGGCATGCAAGGCATGCGCTCTACCACTGAGCCACCTTCCCAGCCCCAGTAGCCAGGATTCATTATTCAGATTTTCAATTTCTTCTTTACCTTTCCTTACTTGTCACCATCTTGCATTTTCTCCTTTCCTACTTTCTGCCCTCTTCCT